CTCCCCGGTTCTGCTTTTGGGGAGTGAGGTCTGATGCAGAGTCAGGACAGGACGTCCCGGCTGGGTTCGGGGATGCCGGGGCAGGGTCGGTGCCTCCTGCCGTGTCCAGCCCTACCCAACACCGGTGTGTGGAAGCTCGATCTTCCCGCTCCGGTTGGACCATGGCTTGTGATGCCGACAGCTGTACTGGCCACAACTGGACAGAGAGGCTCATTTCTGAGCCTGATTGATTGCACCTTGGTTAAGATTTGCCTTAAAGAGATTCTGTCATTTCCTTGCTCCTTTCCGCTGCTCCCGGTGTTGCCCTTTTGGCAAACGCTCCCGCGTGTCCGGAGCGGAGCGCGGGGAGGGAGCTCTCTGGGACACACTGCCCGAGCTGCCCCAACCCCTGCACGTCCCGGCAGGACGCTGGGCTCCGGGCTGTGATTTATCGGTGTCTCCCGTGGGCTGAAATCTTCCAATTCACAGAGATCAATCTCTCGAAGGAGAAAGCAGCCCGGGTCTGGCATGGAGAAACCCTGCCCAGCTCTCCGCGATGCCCACGGTTGCCCTCCCCAGCTTGTGCTCTGGCAGTGTTCTTTTTAGGGTGTTTAAGGCTCGGTGTTTTCTGGGCTGATTAATAGTAGGTGCAGGCAGACGTGGTGCAGACACACTGTGGAGCCTTTCCTCCTGCCTTGCTGGTGTCTCCCCATCCTCCCTGCACCCTCCTGGGCTGCCCCCACCGTGTTCCTGTCCCTGACACCCCGTTCCACCGTGGCCTGGGGACAGACCCCGTCCCGTCCCAGGGATGGGCTGGGAACATCACCCCCGTGGGTCTGTGCTCAGGGCAGACGGTTCCCACTCCCGGCCCCGCAGGCTTTCGGTGAGGGAGGAGCTCAGATCCGGGCGCAGATTTAGGACACGCCGCGGTGCCGGATCTATGGCAGGAGCCCGTGTTGCTCCACGGGGTTGTTGTTAAACTCCCAGCTCCGCATCCGTGCGGGATTTCTTGGCAGCAGGTTTGTTTTCCTGATGACAGCACCCACCGCCACGGGGAGGATCGTGTCCCCGGGTGGCACCCAGAGCTGCGTGGGGACAGAGTTACCTAAAGTGGTGGCGATATTCAAAAGAGCAAAGGGTTTGTGCAGCCAGCGTGTGCCAGGTGTGTTCAAAGCCCCGTGCCAGGCGTGTTTAAAGCGCCAGCATGGCCTCCTTGGGCACTCGTGGACCAGCTGCCCCATCCTCCCAGTGCGGAGCTGTGATTCCATCCTTGTTTCCCAATTCCTCTGCCCTCGAGTGAAAAGGGAGCAAAAGCAGGATGGGAAAGGGTAGATGCTCTCCCAGCTCCCTCCCTCCCCACTGTTCCCATCCCAGCTGTGGGGGAATGTTGGGCTGGCGCTGCCCAGGCTGGTGCTGTTGGCACACCCTCCCCATTCCCAGACACATCCACTGCGGGAGCAGGTTCCTGCCTTGCTCCATGTTGTCAACATCCCTCCCCCAACCGCTGGAGCCACCGCATGGAAAATGTCTGTGGTTTTGGAGAGAGGGGCTGCAAGAGGTGCTGAGCAATTTGCTCTTGAGGCACCCTGGCTGGTGGGCACCCGTCCTGCCACGTCCACAGCAGCAGGTCCAGACCCGCAGCTGCCTCTGGGCAGGGCACCATCAACCTGGAGCCTTTTGGTTTTTGGTCTTGGTGTTGTCAGGAACCCCCCATCCCCATGGCCCTCCTGCCACGGAGCTGAGATGGGTGGATTGTCCAAGCCCCTGGCCCATGCACCTAGTCCCCTTTTGCTGCTGCCCCGCAAGACCTGCTGGGGCTTTTGGGGAGTTTCAGTGCCATTTTGTCCCTGTCCAAATTTTTAAATCCTTGGCTTAAATCTCAGGACCACACCAGGATCCTGGGTTGAGCTGTCAGACTCTAAGGACCCAGGTGCCCAGGGACAGGACAAGAGGAGATGAGCACAAACTTGAATATAAGAAATTCCACCTAAACATGAGGAGGAACTTCTTCACTTTGAGGGTGGCAGAGCCCTGGAAGAGGCTGCCCAGGGAGGTGGTGGAGTCTCCTTCTCTGGAGAGATTCAAAATCCTCCTGCACACGTTCCTGTGCAACCTGCTCTGGGTGGCCCTGCTCTGGCAGGGGGTTGGACTGGATGATCTCCAGAGGTCCCTTCCAACCCCATGTCATTCTGTGTCCATGATATGGCTCTGGCCCGTGTTGTGTGGGGGACAGAGGGATGCTGATGCTGCATCCCAGCCTGTCCCATCCTCCCCAGAGCTGTTGAGGTTCTGGGAATGCTCCCGGGGAGTGCTGAGGGTGCTGCTACACTCTGCTCTTCTCCTTTCTGTGCTCAGCACGCGGCCCAGATGGAGCAGAAGCAGAACGAAACGGAGAACAAGAAGGTGCATGGGGACGTGGTGAAATACGGCAGCGTCATACAGGTACGGGGGCTCGCTCGCCCTCCCCGCCTCGGCGATACCTCCTGGGGGAGATCCCACAGGCTGGGAGGGGGCTCGTGGGATGCTCCAGGGTATGAGCAGCCCTGGGGACCTGGAGGGGCTGTACGTACCACCGCTGCTCACCCCGGAGTTCACCTTTCCAGCTCCTCCACATGAAGAGCAACAAGTACCTGACGGTGAACAAGCGGCTGCCGGCCCTGCTGGAGAAAAACGCCATGAGGGTGACGCTGGATGCCACCGGCAACGAAGGATCCTGGCTCTTTATCCAGCCCTTCTGGAAGCTGAGGAGCAATGGAGATAACGTGAGCGCAGAGCCGAAAATGTCCCCAAAAGAAGATATGTGCAGAAAGCACTGCCCGTGCTGCCTGCCAGCCCTCCCTTCCCGGCCTCATCCTCTCTCTCCCCTTTCCCTTTCTGCTCCCCAGGTAGTCGTGGGAGACAAAGTCATCCTGAACCCTGTCAACGCCGGGCAGCCGCTGCACGCCAGCAACCCTTTCCCTTTTTGCTCCCCAGGTAGTCGTGGGAGACAAAGTCATCCTGAACCCTGTCAACGCCGGGCAGCCGCTGCACGCCAGCAATTATGAGCTTGCTGACAACGCCGGCTGCAAGGAGGTACGGGGGGGCTGGGCTGCCTCTGCGGGCTCTGGCTTTTGGGGCTTCTTTGTGCTTTTTTCCTTTTTCTTCCTTTTTCTTTTTTTTCCCTTGCCCCAGGGGTCGTGACTGTGCTCTCTTGCTCCTTAGGTGAACTCAGTCAATTGTAACACCAGCTGGAAAATCAACCTTTTCATGCAGTTCCGCGACCACATGGAGGAAGTGCTGAAAGGGGTAAGGAAGGAGGTTCGGCTGCCGCCGGGGACACGGGGGGCTCTGGGGACCCAGCCCTGGTCCCCCGTGAGGGCAGGATGTGTGAGCAGCCCTTTGGCTGTGTGACAAGGGCAGAGGAAAGAGATCCTGCCTTTAGGACTTTAATTCCCAGAGAATTCGTCACTCGGAGAACTTAACAGCAAGCTAGAGCTGGATATTTTAGTGTCCCCTCACAGCAGGTACCTGAGGGGGCATGAAATTACCCTCCGCCTTGTATTGAGTTGGCTTTCGAGGACAATGAGAGGCACACGTAGTGCCAGCAGTGGCTTCTGGCTGCGAGGACAATTTTCGGCTCTTTAGCCGTGCGGCGGGGCTGGCTGTTGCCTGGGAAAGGAACTTTCCCTGCGGAGCTATTGTTCGGGGCTGAGGTCCTCCAGGAAGCAGCTGGATGGATATTGATTGTTATGATCCTACAGCCCCTGCTCCCCAGGCGCCACACTTATCCCCGGCTCCCCGCGGCCACCGCATCCTCCTCCCCGGGGCATTAATGCCTCGAGCACATTGGTGAGCAGAGCCTCTGCCCACGCCGGGGGTGTAAAATGGGGGGTTTGTACCCATTTTACAGCCTGGGGAGGGGAAGCAGTAGGAAGTGACTGGCCTAGGAAATGCAGTGATGGCATTGCAGGGTGCCCCGTGCCCATGCGAGGTGCCCTTCCCTGGGTTTGGAGGAGCATTTCTGCTGGTAGAGGCAGGTTTTAGCACAGCTCAGGTAGGACTGGAAGAGCTGATGGTGCCCTGTGATGCCCAGCCTCCCACAGCCCTGCTATGCCATGACTGGGAGCTGTGCTCTGCTCTGGACGACGTACAGGGGATCCCCTGGCAGGGTTGGGGGGGGTGACAGGAGGAGATACATGGAGAGCCATGTCCCTGGGTCTCACCACCATGTCCTGCTCCAGGGGGACGTGGTGAGGCTCTTCCACGCCGAGCAGGAGAAGTTTCTCACCTGTGATGAGTACAAAGGCAAGCTGCACGTCTTCCTTCGCACCACCCTGCGGCAGTCGGCCACCTCGGCCACCAGCTCCAACGCCCTGTGGGAGGTGGAGGTGAGTGGGGAGGGGATGGAGCGTGTGTCCACGGGCTTTTGGGTTGCCTCCACGGGCTGCTGCGCTTTCACTGGGAGGGGACTGGGTAGAAGCAGTGGTTGGCTCTATACATTTCCACCTCTGGTAGCCTGACTGCCCTGGTGAAAGCCAGCACAAGGCTTGAGCTCCAAGAGAACTTCTTACAAGCTTCTTCCAAGCTCCATGAGAGCCTCTTCTCCCAAGTGAATAATGACAGGAGCAGAGGAAATGGTCTGAATTGCAGCAGGGGAGGTTTAGATTAGATATTAGGAAGAATTACTTTCCTGAGAGGGTGGTCAGGCACTGGAACAGCCTGCCCAGGGAGGTGGTGGAGTCACCATCCCTGGAGGGATTTAAGAAACGTGTAGACATGACACTTCAGGGTATGCTGTAGTGCCTGAGATTGTTGGGTTGTGTCTGCTGGTGGGTTTGTGTTGGGTTTTTTGTGATTGGACTCAATGATCTCAAAGGTCCCTTCCAACCATGAAGATTCTGTGATTCTGTAAGAGAGCTGGGATCCATGGCTGCTGGTGGATGGGCTGACTGTCTGAGCTTGTGGCCACCTTTGAGATAGGATGGGGCTTTTATCAATGGCTTGTTTGCCTGGGAGGGGGCAGGAACAGCATCCCAGTTCCCCACAGCCCCATGCTTTACTGGCTGAGCTCTCCTCTGCTTCTCCCAGGTGGTCCACCATGACCCATGCCGAGGAGGAGCCGGGCACTGGAATGGCTTGTACCGCTTCAAGCACCTTGCCACGGGCAACTACCTGGCAGCAGAGGTAAGGAGGCAAGCAGAGGGATGCAGAAACCTGCCCTACCCTCGAGAGGCTGGTACCATCCCTGGCAAAGGCAGTGCCCACCTCCCTTAGACAGAGCCGCGATGCCCAGGACTGTCTGTGGCCCCGCTCCGGGGATTTTGGAGCCTTCCTGCCTTGGGCCTCCACGGCTCCTCCTCACTCACAGGAGACATTGGCACCAGGGCTCTGAGCATCATCATCATCATGCGTCTGTTTGCAGGGCTGGGCTTTCCCCCCCAGAAATCCCCCACCCAGGCCAAGCAGCCGTACTGGCACAACCTCCTGGGAGCAGGAGATAACTCACCCTGCTGTGCTTAACTCCTCCCGGTCAGGTTTTGCCCATCCTCATCCTCTGGTCCATGGCAGCATCCAGGGCTGTCCTTGCCTGGGGAGGGTGTGGGCAAAAGCTGGGTTTCCAACACCATCCGCCAAATTTTTTTGCTCCTATTTAAGGCCAGTTCAAGGCCTCCTGATAGAGGCACAAAGAGTTTTCTGCACTTAGATAATGTGGTTTGTATGACACTAATTAATTGCCACTACCAAGGGAAAGACAGTGTTACACCCCGCTGCCAGGGGAGCGGGGATGTACTGGGGGGGTCTCAGTGCACCATGTGCCAGAGGTGCTCCTTAGCTGAGAAGAAAACCAAAGGCAGCCCCCAGGGCCCCTTCCACCACTGCAGGATGGAAAACAGGAAATATTGGGCTCTGAAATGGCTGCTTTAAACCAAAAGACAGTGAGGTGACATCTGCAGAGGAGAGAAGATTGCAGAATGGTCCTGGGCTGGTGCTGCCCGGCTTGTGTTGCTCACTGAGACCTCAGCCTGGGCTTTGGAAGGATTTACAGCAAAAGCTCATCTTCCTGCAGTGCAGAGTCCTGGGGCTGCCCCCGAGGGCTCACCCTGTCCCACTCCCTGTCCCTGGGGACAGAACGCTGGGTGCTGGGTACGAGTCACCTCCTCCAGCCCCACCTGGGCTGGTTTCCTCTCTCTGCGATGCGATCCAGGAAGGCAGGACTAGAGATAACACCCCATGCTCAGGGTTTTTGGAGGGACCGAGCGGGAGGACTGAATAGCTGTCTTTCATCTCCCTCTTTAACTTTTCAGGAAAACCCAAGTTATAAAGGAGACGTGGCTGAGCCCAAAGCAGCGCCCACGGTGAGCTGTGTGCAGCCTCGCTAGCAGAAATGCTGCTGCCGCTGCCTGAAATCACGCCGTCTCTTAAACTTTGCCTGAAAGCAGGGAAATGCCCCAAAACAGAGCCTGCCGTGGGGACAGTGCCCGCGCCGTGCCGCTTGGTGCCGAGGCTGTGGCCGAGGCTGTCCCGCTGCCCAGCAGAGCATCCCGCATCCCGCACTCTAGAGTAGCATCCCCGTGTCCCGCTTGCGAGGGGACCCTCCTGAAATCTGTTGGAGGGGTCCCGGTGCATGTTGGACCCCCAGGCCACGGGGAAGTGCCGGTAGAAGAGAGATTTGGACTTTCAGGGGGTTTTTCCTCTTTGCTGTTGGTGAGATTTGGCGAAGGGGTGGCCTCCGTAGCTCAGGTGCATCGCGCTGCGCTTGTGCTCTCGTAGCCCCTCGCGCGGCTCAGCCCGGCACCCGAGCAAAAGCTTCTGCTCTGAGCGTAGTCGCTGCGTGTCTCCTCCGACGCCGGGACGCTGGGCTCGGTGGGGTGGCCGCCCCACACCAGGCTCAAAGCTGCTTTCCCCGGTGCAGGGGGGCAGCAGCCGTGCCAGCCGCAGGAACACGGGGGAGAAGATCAAATACCGGCTGGTGGCCGTGCCCCACGGCAACGACATCGCCTCCCTCTTCGAGCTGGACCCCACCACGCTGCAGAAGACCGACTCCTTCGTCCCGCGGTAGGTGGGCACGTGCGGCCACGGTGGGATTGAAGGAAGGAAGGGAGGTTTAGTTGCGTGGTGTGACATTTTTGGGATGCTGTGCCATTTGCAGGAACTCCTACGTGAGGCTGCGCCACCTCTGCACCAACACCTGGATCCAGAGCACCAACGTGCCCATTGACATCGATGAGGAGAGGCCCATCCGCCTCATGGTACGGCCCCGCTCCCTCCTCCCGTGCAGGGATTTATCCCCTGTGCCCTGGTAGCTCTTAGCATGCTCCTTCCCACCCAGCACCCAGGCTTCACCCCAGGGCTGAAAGACCCTGATGATCCAAGGGGGTGGCTGGACACCAGCCTGGAGCCCACCTCAGTAGCCTGGAGCCCACCCCAGTCCATCGGATGGGCACAAACAGGGTCACTGACTTCCCACCTGGGGTGGGTGGCAGATGGTGGGGCCATGCTTGGCATTGCCATGTCTGTGTGATGCTGCTTCCCCGTTGCTTCCCAGCTGGGCACGTGCCCCACCAAAGAAGACAAAGAAGCTTTTGCCATCGTCTCCGTGCCCGTATCTGAGATCCGGGACCTGGACTTTGCCAATGACGCCAGCTCGATGCTGGCCAACGTGGTGGAGAAGATGAACGAAGGTTTTCTCAGCCAGAACGACCGGAGGTAAAAAGTCCCACCTGGGAGATGGGGCCGGGTTCCTCCAAGGGCTCTCCAGCATCCCTGCAGGATGGGGCCCCTGCCTGGGTCTCGGTGCCAGCGCTGTCTTGCTTTCCTGCCCACAACCCAAATCCACGCCTGCTTCTCCCAGGAGTCTGGTGAGGAAACCAGATAACGCCGCAGCCCCGCTCCGGCCCCTCCTTTGCCGCTAGAAAAATATCCGAGGGGCTGAGAGATGGCCCCACGATAGGGGCAGCCGGGTTAGTCACGGTATTATTTTTAGGTGGGTGGGTTCTTGGTGCTTCCTGAGCAAACACAGGTCCCCCGGGGGACAGAGGGAGCCGCTTCCGCCCTGCCAGCCCGCCCCGCGCGGGTACCACGAGGGTGACTAAGGGGACAGAGGCGTTAAATGCAAAATCCCCGGCATGAATCACAGGCAAAGGCCCCTGGCATTTACCCTGGCACATATAGTTTCCGTAGGAACCGTAGGGGCTGCAAAACCTCTTGCTTTAGGGCGACCGTCAACGTGTAGTAAGGAGGGGAGGATCAGCCAGCAACTTCCTTGGCAGCCCTGAACATGGTCTCGTTGGTCTTCCAAAATGCGCCGGCATCGTTGCAGGGACCCAAGTTGGGGTGGGCTGCGTCGGGTGGGCAAGCAGCCCCCCCCCGGCTGGAGAGTCCCACCGTGCCCCTTTGCAGGTTTGTCATCCAGCTCCTGGAGGACTTGGTGTTTTTCGTCAGCGACGTTCCCAACAATGGCCAGAACGTGCTGGACATCGTGGTGACCAAGCCCAACCGGGAGCGGCAGAAGCTGATGCGGGAGCAGAACATTCTGAAGCAGGTCAGTGATCACAGGACCCTGCATCTTAGCAAGGCTGAGGTCCTGTGGAGATGTCCTGTGCTGCTCAGGGCCACGCTGGAGGCTAAGGATCTGGAATCCCCATGGAGGAGGTGTAGCTGGTCTCCAGCTCATGCCCTCATGGCGCACCAAGCCCTCCTGGCAAGCACAGCTGGTGTCCGTGGGGGTGATGGTGTGGAGTGGGATGCAGCACTTATCACCTCTGCTTTTGGGCAGATCTTTGGGATCCTGAAAGCCCCCTTCAAGGACAAGGGCGGGGAAGGGCCCCTGGTGCGGCTGGAGGAGCTGTCGGACCAGAAGAACGCTCCCTACCAGTACATGTTTCGGCTGTGCTACCGTGTGCTGCGGCACTCCCAGGAGGACTATCGCAAGAACCAGGTGTGGGGGGGGTGACGGGGAGGGCCACCCTCCTACCACGTGTTGCAAAGCCCTGGGGGGCTGTTGAGGTCTTGGTGGGGCGGGGGGTATTGCTAGACCCCAAGACACAGCCCTGTGCGCTCACCACCTCTCTGCCCGCTCCAGGAGCACATTGCCAAGCAGTTTGGCATGATGCAGTCCCAAATTGGCTACGACATCCTCGCCGAGGACACCATCACGGCCCTGCTGCACAACAACCGCAAGCTGCTGGAGAAGCACATCACCAAGACGGAGGTGGAGACCTTCGTCAGCCTGGTGCGCAAGAACCGCGAGCCACGGTGCGTGTCCGGACAGGCCCCATCCCAAAGGGCTTTGTGCTGCGTGATGGGTGGGATGTGCCTCGAACAGAGGTGGAGAAGAGCCCCCGTGGACCTCCTGGTGACAGCGAGCTGTCTCTGCCCGGCAGGTTTTTGGACTACCTCTCGGACCTGTGCGTGTCCAACCACATTGCCATCCCCGTCACCCAGGAGCTGATCTGCAAGTGTGTGCTGGACCCAAAGAACAGCGACATCCTCATCAAGACGGAGTGAGTAGCCAAGGGGAGAGGTTGTCCACGTTCAGGATCTGGTGCCTGGCCCTGCCTCCCACCAGCTCTCCCAGTGCCCGGGTAAAGGCCCCGTCACCCCTCGAGGAGCAGCCGCTCCCCGTCCACAGGAGCATCTCCAGTTTACCCCTTTTCTGTCCTAGGCTGAGGCCAGTGAAGGAGATGTCCCAGACCCACGAGTACCTGAGCATCGAGTACTCGGAGGAGGAGGTCTGGCTCACCTGGACGGACAAGAACAACGACCACCATGAGAAAAGCATCCGGCAGCTGGCACAGGAGGCCCGGGCTGGGAATGCCCATGATGAGAACGTCCTCAGCTACTACAGGTGACGATCCCGTGGCATCTTCTCCCCAGGTGAGGGTGTAAGGGTTGAATGTCCTCACTCCCTCTCCCCCTCATCCCTGGGCAGGTACCAGCTGAAGCTCTTTGCCCGCATGTGCCTGGATCGCCAGTACCTGGCCATCAAGGAGATCTCCCAGCAGCTGGGTGTGGACCTGATCTTCCTCTGCATGGCAGATGAGATGCTGCCCTTCGATCTCCGGGCGTCCTTCTGCCACCTCATGTTGCACGTGCACGTAGACAGGGATCCCCAGGAGCTGGTGATGCCTGTGAAGTTTGCACGGCTCTGGACTGAGATCCCCACAGCCATCACAATCAAAGAGTGAGACACATTGGGGGTTGCAGGGGCTTTGAGGGGCAGGACAGAAGATGGGATTGTAGATGCCATCCACTGCAGTGGTCTGGCTTGACTTTAACAGGGACTGGGACAGGACATTTGTGGAGTGACTTTGGTAGATCTCAATCTTCAGAAGGAAACAGGCTCCATCATAGTCATGAGCATCAATTCTGGCTGTGATGCCAGGACAGATGCCAGGTCCAGCTCAGCAGCTGCCTGGACAGTGCTCCTTCCAGGCTGGGTGTGAGGAGACTCATCCCCACCATCTCCCCTCACAGTTATGACTCCAACCTCAACGTCTCACGTGATGACAAAAAGAACAAGTTTGCCAGCACCATGGAGTTCGTGGAGGACTACCTCAACAACGTGGTGAGCGAGGCGGTGCCCTTTGCCAATGAGGAGAAGAACAAGCTCACCTTTGAGGTGCGAGTCCTGCCGGTGTCCCTGGCACGGTGCAGGATGCAACACAGTTTGGCTGTGACTGCTTCTGCAACGAGGGTGGCCGTGTTGGCATCCCTCTCCCCTGTGTTTGTTCCTCCTGCTCAGCTCTCAGCACAGCAAGGTCTGGAGTTGCCTTGTTCTTCTCTAGGTCGTCAGCCTTGCCCACAACCTCATCTACTTCGGCTTCTACAGCTTCAGCGAGCTGCTGCGCCTGACGCGGACACTGCTGGGCATCATCGACTGCGTCCAAAACCCCCAGCTGATGATGCAGGCGGTCTACAATGACGAGGTGACGGGTGAGTCCCTGCTCCATAACCAGGCATGGTCCTGCAGGAAGGTGTTTTCCATGGTCTGCCCAGTGCTTTCTAGTTTGGGCTGTAAGAAGACAATCCACTGGTTTGGTGACATGGAAGCTTTGGCTGGGTCTGCACTGGGAGACAGGAGATGTTGAGCCCTTGGCCATGCCAGAGAAAAGGCCAGTCCCTCCTGCTCATTCTCTGGTTGATGCCTACAGCATATTGCAGTCTAAGTGGGTCCTTCCGTTCATCCTCTGCCACCTCCCTTTCCATCTGCATTAACTTTGCCCACTGTGGCTGCCTCTGCAGGGAAGAACGTGAGGAGATCCATCCAGGGTGTTGGGCAGATGATGTCCACCATGGTGCTGAGCAGGAAACAGTCCATCTTCAGCCCCCCGAGCCTCAGCGCCGGATCTGCCCCAGAGCAGGTGGACAGAGGGAGGAGCGTCGAGAGCGAGAACATTGTGGTGATGGAGACCAAGCTGAAGATTCTGGCAATCTTGCAGGTTGGAGCCAGTGGAGAGGGAGAAACATTGTGGAGCTGTGGGTGGGACCTGTGGGATGGGGAAGACATAGTTTTCTCATGCAGAGAGACAGCTGGTATGAAGTGGACACTCACTTTTGCTTTCTTCTTTGCTGCTGCCAGTTCATCCTGAATGTGCGGCTGGACTACAGGATCTCCTACCTGCTTTCTGTCTTCAAGAAGGAGTTTGTGGAGGTCTACCCCATGCAGGACAGCGCGGCCGATGGGACGGCTCCAGCCTTTGACTCCACAAGTAACTCTCCCACTTTGCTCCTGGTGCACCTTCAGCTCGGCAAACCCCACAGGCTGGGGACACCCAGGCGGTGGAGGTGACAGCTCCAGCAGCTCTCCACCCGCCGCTGCTGGCATGGGGGGGGTTGGGGTCTGTGCAGACGGGGTGAGGTGTCCTGTGTCCATCGTGGATGCTCAGAGCAGTGGTCAGGGAGCCGGGTTGGTTCCTGCAGGTTTCTGCTGACGCAGGTCACATTGGCTGCCCCTTCTTATCTCCCTTTCCTCTCCCTCAGCCGCAGCCATGAACCTGGAGCGGATCGGCGAGCACGCGGAAGCCATGTTCGGTGTGGGGTGAGTCCCTGCCCCCTCCGGTGCATAGTTAGCCTGGCCATAGGGCTCTGCCTCTCCTGTCCATGCTGCCGAGGCTGAGAGCTGCAGGTGACGAGGAAGATGAGGCTCTAAAGGCTCATGCAGTGTCCCCGTCAGCCCCGAGGGGTGACTGAGTGCACGCGAGCTCCCGCCTGGCTGCTAACACCAAGCGCTTTCGTCCCGGCTTCAGGAAGACGAGCAGCATGTTAGAGGTGGATGACGAGGGAGGGAGGATGTTTCTGCGGGTGCTGATCCACCTGACGATGCACGACTACCCACCCCTCATCTCCGGGTCCCTGCAGCTCCTCTTCAAGCACTTCAGCCAGAGGCAGGAGGTCTTGCACACCTTCAAACAGGTAACCCTGGTGGGACACTGCTCTGGAGCGCCTCCAAACCCACACTTGGCTGTGGGGGCAGGACGTGGGATGGGTCCCGGCCCCTTTCCTTGGGATGGAGATCTGGAAAAGGAGGGGAATGGGGTTTCGTGCCCCAAATTGGAAACCCCTGGGAATGTCGCTGCAGGTTCAGCTCCTGATCTCAGCCCAGGATGTGGAGAATTACAAGGTGATCAAGTCAGAGCTGGACAAACTCCGCACTATGGTGGAGAAATCGGAGCTCTGGGTGGACAAGAAGGGGAGCAGCAAAGGGGACAGCACCGTGGAGGGGAACAAGAAGGACAAGAAAGAGGTGAGGGCCCTGAGCAAGACCTTGGGAACCAGAAGCGGGAGGCAGAGGTGCAGATTGTTTCAGTCCAACACCTTACACCTCTCCATGGGGCAGGCACCCCTCTGCCTGGAAGAGGAGGGTCAGGGAGGGTCCTGTGGGGTGTAGTTATGCCCCAGGCTTTGGAGAGGTGCAGTGGGACCATGGTGCTGTTTCTGTCCCCTCACAGCATGCTGCTGACGAAGAGGTCATTGCTCCGGGAGAGAAGAGCAGTGAGAACTATCAGATAGTCAAGGGGGTAAGTGACACCAGACCCTGTCCCCTGGGCACCAACGAGAAGGGAAAGGGAGAAATCATGGGGAGGGTTTCCAAGCTCTCTTGGGGTTCAGAAGAAATGAGTCCAAGCCAGGGCTTGCTCCTGCAAGCTCAGTGCAGGGAGGAGCCCTGCTATGGCCCCAGGGCTCCAGAGTGAGCCTTGCACTGGGAGGACTGGAGGGGAGAAGGTTGGTGCTGGGTGCAAGGGCTCCCTGCATGGCACCACGGGGAGGATTTCTGAGGGGGGTGCCAAGATTCGCGAATGATGCGGGGGGCACCTGGGTTGATGGAGGGCACATCTGGATTGCAAGCAAGCCCCCAGTGCTGGTGGCCATCCCGATGGGCTCCCAGGCTCAATTCCCCTCTGCCGTGCTCCTTCTCTCCCCAGATCCTGGAGCGGCTGAATAAGATGTGTGGGGTTGGAGAGCAAGTGCGCAAGAAGCAGCAGCGCCTTCTGAAGAACATGGATGCCCACAAAGTGATGCTGGATCTGCTGCAGATCCCTTATGAGAAGGTGGGTGGGCAGAAGCTGGCTGGTCCTGAAGTGTCCAAGGAAAGGAGTGGGGGATGCGGGGACCCCCCCCATGCATGGGCAGGGCAGGAGGGGTGGCAACCTGCTCCTACTCTCCATCCTCACCAACTCTGGGCATTTCCCTTCTCTGCCCTTCCTCAGGGTGATGCCAAGATGATGGAGATCCTGAAATTCACCCACCAGTTCCTGCAGAAGTTTTGTGCTGGCAACCAGGAAAACCAGGCCCTGCTGCACAAACACCTCAACCTGTTCCTGACCCCCGGGGTAAGGAGAGGGGACCAAAGGGTGGTTGGAGGCACCACACGGGTGGAGACTTTGGTACCACTCCTGAGGGGTGGAGAGCAAGAGAAACAAAAGGCAGGAGGAATCCCTGGGAGAGGAAAGGTCAGGGCAGGAGTGGAAGCTGTTCCTCGTAGCTCCCCAGCCTCACCCTGCTCCCCTGGTTCTGCAGCTCCTGGAGGCTGAGACGATGCAGCACATCTTCCTCAACAACTACCAGCTCTGCTCGGAGATCAACGAGACGGTGCCACAGCACTTCATCCACTGCGTGGCCACCCACGGCCGTCATGTCCAGTACCTGGACTTCCTGCACACCATCATCAAGGCCGAGGGCAAGTACGTCAAGAAGTGCCAGGACATGATCATGACCGAGGTGAGCACCTTTCCCCCCAGCCTGTGGGGCGTGAGTGTGGGGTGTAGCTGATGTGGCCCCTGGGAGATGCATGGTTGGCTTCTTCCTTGAGGAAGAGCCTTCCCAACCATGCTGGCTTCTTCCTGGAGCAGGAAACATCTCCAGGAGCTTAATGCAAGGTCCAAGAGCCAATAACCATTTTGGAGTCCCAGAAGCTGTGATTTTTTGATTGTACTGCAAATGCCTGGTTTTCCCTGTAAACTCACGGCCCTTTTATCCTTCACTGGCTACTCCCTCTCATCGTCCGCTGCAGAGGACACTGTTCTCTGCCTTGAGAGGTTTCTGACCCTCCTTCTCCAGAGCAGTGACCCCTGACCCTTCCCTGCAGCTCACCAATGCTGGGGACGATGTGGTGGTTTTCTACAATGACAAGGCTTCACTGGCCACTCTTCTGGAGATGATGACGGCGGCCAGGGATGGGGTGGAGGAGAACAGCCCACTGATGTACCACATCTCGCTGGTGGACCTGCTGGCTGCCTGCGCCGAGGGCAAGAACGTCTACACAGAGATCAAGTGCACATCCCTGCTGCCCTTGGAGGACGTGGTGCGGGTGGTGACACATGAGGATTGCATCACGGAGGTACGGGGTGCCCAGTCAGGAGGGTGCCAGTGGCTTTGCACTGATTGCCTTCCCCTGACGGTGGCTGTGACCCCTCTCCTTCCCTCCCCGGTAGGTGAAGATGGCCTATGTGAACTTTGTCAACCACTGCTATGTGGACACAGAGGTGGAGATGAAGGAGATCTACACCAGCAACCACATCTGGACTCTCTTTGAGAACTTCACCCTGGACATGGCCCAGGTGCGTGGGGAGGGTTGGGTGGGAGGGACACAGCAGCAATAGCTGGTGTATCGCATGGGGACAGGTTGGTGTCACTGGGGCTCCCTCAAAGGCTGGGCAGCCAGACATGGGGCATGGCCACCGTGGGGACTTGTGTAGCTGCCACACCAGGGGCTGGGGAGCAGTCAGGGCTCTCTGGCGTAGACCCAGGAGCTGTAACCAGCCACATCCTTCAGCTTAGCAAGGTCCCGGCAGCGCTGTGTGCCAGCAGCATCTGGCCAGGATGAATGCTCACCTCGCCCTGGTGCCACCAGCATCCTCCCTTTTCCTCACAGATGTGCAAGAAGCGAGAGAAACGCCTGCCAGACCCTACGCTGGAGAAGTACGTGCTGACGGTGGTGCTTGACACCATCAATGCGTTCTTCAGCTCCCCCTTCTCAGAGAACAGCACCTCGCTCCAGGTAGTAATGCGCTGCATGGACAGGCCGTGGCTGGGGGAGGAAAGCAGCTCATCAAGCCCCCAAAACCAAGGTCTGATACGTACCTGCCTGCTCTCTCCTTCAGACCCACCAGACCATTGTGGTGCAGCTTCTCCAGTCCACCATGAGGCTGCTGGAGTGTCCCTGGCTGCAGCAGCAGCACAAGAGCTCGGTGGAAGCCTGCATCCGCACGCTGGCCATGGTTGGTAAGGAGCTGTGCCAGAGGGATGTTCTGTGCCCCACCGACCAGGAGGATGCAGCCACCCTCTGCTGCGGCAGTGAGCAGGGCCACAAAGATGGTCCAAGGGCTGGAGCCCCTCTGCTGGGAGGACAGGCTGAGAGAGTTGGGGGGGTTCAGCCTGGAGAAGAGAAGGCTCCGGGGAGACCTCAGAGCCCGTTCCAGTCCCTCAAGGGGCTCCAGGAGAGATGGGGAGGGACTCTGGATCAGGGAGGGGAGCCCTAGGAGGAGGGGGAAGGGTTTGACCCTGAAAGAGGGGAGATGGAGCTGAGATGTGGGGAAGAACTTGTTTGGTGTGAGGGGTTCAAGGGCAGGTTGGAGGGGGCTTGGAGCAACGTGGTCTGGTGGGAGGTGTCTCTGCCCAGAGCAGGGGGTGGCACTGGGGGGACTTTAAGGTCCCTTCCAACCCAAACCATTCTCTGATTCTAAGAGCCATGGTTCCTGCTGCAGGCCTTGGCAGGGCGCCCCAGGAGAGGCTGCCGGCCGGTAATGGGGAGGTTTGGCTCCAGGATGTGCTTTTTTTGAGCTACATCTCGGATACAACCAGGGTGACGTGGGGATAACCGAAGCCTGGGCTTGGTTGGGAGATCCCTGGTGTGTTCCCTGGTGGTGAAGGGCCTGGAAACAAAGCCAGCATTGATGGTGGTTTTCCCTTGGCAGGACTTTGCCCTCAGCCGGCTTGTGGCTGCCTGGCTCGGGACAAGGGTTGTTAGCACTGAGTCACCCCGTGGAAAGGATTGCTCGTGGTTAGACACTGGGTGGGGATTTCCCTTTGTAATTTGAGGCAGGGTGCTTAAAACATCTCCACGCTGGGCTTACCCAACCAAAAACTGGAAGTGGTGCCTCTTTCCATCCAACGTTGGGTTGGGGTTGGGGCTGGGAGCGATGTTGTGCTGCAGTTGGGAGGGATGGATGGAAATACTCCACCCCTCACTAGCCTGGAGGACTTTCCTTTTGTATTTCACCTAAATCTTCTCTGCTGCAAATGAAGAGGTGGTGGAGGGGTGCCTGGCCCAGAGCAGTGTGGTAGGTCCCAGCCGATGGGGTGGGCTGGGCCGTGGCTGTCCCCAACCCCGGCTCCGTCTCCTGCAGCCAAGAGCCGCTCCATCGCGCTGCCCATGGACCTGGACGCCCACGTCAGCTCCCTGCTCAACAGCAGCTCCACCAGCACCGTGCAGAGGAACACGTCCAGCTACAAGACGGCCACACGGACCTTCCCCCGCGTCTCCACCACCCCCAACCAGTGGGACTACAAGAACATCATAGAGAAGCTGCAGGTATGGGGCAGGGATGGCATGGATCAGGGCATGACATCAAGAAGGTGCTGGCATTGCAGGGGTCCCTCTCCCGTGCTCGTGTCTCCTAGGCATGCATTGGCCCTAAAGGTGTGTGCTGTGACTTGTAGGACATCATCACCGCCCTGGAGGATCGCTTGAAACCGCTGGTGGAGGCTGAGCTCTCTGTCCTGGTCGATGTCCTCCACCGGCCAGAGCTGCTCTTCATGGAGGGGACGGAGGCGTTCCAGCGGTGCGAGAGCGGAGGTTTCCTGTCCAAGTGAGGATGCTTTGCGGTCGCCATGGGATTGCTGGGGGCACTGGGAAGGGCTGGGGACCTTCAGCCTTTGTGGGTTGTGCATCCTGGTGTGCACCTGCAGAGTGGAGGGGCGGTGGGGCTGTTCCCTTGGGGACCCCCTTGTCCCTCTCGGCTGCGTGACGGTGGCTCTGCCGTGCCAGGCTGGTGCAGCACACCAAGGACCTCATGGAGACGGAGGAGAAGCTGTGCATCAAGGTGCTGAGGACACTGCAGCAGATGCTGGTGAAGAGGAACAGATACGGCGAGAGGGTGAGCACCATGGTCCTGCAGCACATCCCCAGCCCTACTCCTTGTCCCTGCAGCCCATGTCACCCAGGCTGGCAGTGCCCTCCCCGTGGCAGCCCAGGAGTGCTCAGCCTTGTTCCACTTCAGCGCTGGCCTTGGCACTGGGAGACTCGTGACGTTTGTTTGTCTTGGCAGGGCAACCTGCTGCGGAAAATGCTCCTGAACAATTACCTGCAGAACAAGAAGTCCAGCTCCAAAGGGGAAATGGTGGATGCTGCTGGGGGAGGTGAGTGCCCTTCTTCTGCACCTTCCCTGTCCCTCTGTGCTGCTCACACACACCTAGACTTCCCGGCTCCTTGAGCCATGATGGGATCAGGTCTGGCCACCATTCCCTCTCTTCCATGAGAGTAAAGGACTTGGGAAGATGAAGGGGTGGGACTGAAATGCCCCTGGCAGTGATTGAGCTGTGCTTATTCTGCACTACCACAGCATCACATCCCTCTGTGTCTTCTCATGCAGGCCAAGACCAGGACTGGTCTGCTATCGCTGCTGTCCAGTGCCGGCTGGATCGAGAAGGGGCCACCAAGCTGGTGGCTGACCTCATCATGAACACCAAGAACGAGAAGATCTTCCAAGAGAGCATCCTTCTTGCCATCCGGCTGTTGGATGGAGGCAACACTGAGATCCAGGTGCTGAGTCCCGGCTGTGTGGTGGGCACCAGCCCTGGGGGAACTGGGCACCCACCGTTTGATGGGTGCAGCATAATGCTCCCAGCACTTGGAAGACGTGGGTGAATGGCAGTCCTCTGTCCTGGCCCCTGGGCTTGGTTAAAATACTGTTTGGTTGTTTATCTTTGCTGGCCAGAGGAGGAATTGCAGAAATCTGTCTGGTTTGGGGTTTTCCAGCTGGGTGGCTGGATGGAGCTGGAGGGTGGGTGCTGGAAGGGGCAGGTTGGTGTCTCTGCAGTAAAGCTGATGCCCTCTGCCGGGTGCTGCTCAAACGGCTCGGGCTGCAGCTCTTGGGTGATAACTCATGGGTTATCTCGAATCCTTTATCACAGGGAAGCCAATACATTAATTGTACATGCAAAACATGTACATATAGGGCAGGGCTCCAGGCCTGGAGCTGTTGTAATCGCTGTTTGCTCTGTCCCTAACCCTGATTTTAGGGTAAAAAAGGGCACAGGAGCAGGGGACGATCCACCCCTGTAAATCCAAAAGGGCTGTGACATCCAGGGTTGTACCATGGAAATAAACCAGGTTGTCATAGACAAGGTCTTGAGTGCTCGAGGCCACCAAATCAAAGGGGCAGGCAGTTTGGAGCCCATGATGGAGACTTGTCCCTCCCTCCTCCCAGAAATCCTTTTACAACCTCATGACGAGCGACAAGAAGTCCGAGAAGTTCTTCAAAGTTTTGCACGACAGGATGAAGAAGGCACAGCAGGAGACCAAGTCCACGGTGTCTGTGAACATGAGTGACATCGGGAACAAACCTCGTGAGGACAAGGACGAGCCTGACCCTGGCACCAAAGGTATGGAGCTGTGTCCCCTTGGTAGAGCCAACGTCTCGTGTGATAACCCGATGCTAACGAGGTTGGATTGCCCTCTAGGACGAGGAGACACCTTCCTGATGCCTGGCACCCCCTCCCGATGCCCGATGGCCATAGGGTTTCGGAAGGGCCATGACACGGGGGAGCAGGGTCAGAACAATGAGATGGGGGTGACGGTCCTGATCATGGAGCCCATCCTGAGATTCCTGCAACTGCTCTGTGAGAACCACAACCGGGACCTGCAGGTGGGTCACAGGGGCTGCTCGGGATGGGGGCCAGGGCAGAGGCTGTCGGATGGGGGTGTGGGAAGCCTGGGGTCTGCCTCGGTTTGGTCCAAAAAGCCATTGCACCAGCCGCTCCGTGCCTCAGTTTCCCCAACTTTGCTTAGTGTTGTGGAAGTTCACAGCACGACTGTGTCCATGGGACTGAGTGTTCCTCTTGGAGGTCCCTGCATTACAGCCCCATTCTCCATCGAACTGCAGCTGGGGGGGTGTGGGGAGGGGGATCAGGCCTGACCCCCCGTCAGAGTGACGCTGCTCAGCCCCGTAACTGCAGCCTTTGCTCCACAGAACTTCCTCCGGTGCCAGAACAACAAAACCAACTACAACCTGGTGTGTGAGACGCTGCAGTTCCTTGACATCATGTGCGGCAGCACCACGGGGGGGCTGGGGCTGCTGGGGCTCTACATCAACGAGTACAACGTGGCCCTCATCACCCAGACCCTGGAGACCCTCACCGAGTACTGCCAAGGGCCCTGCCACGAGAACCAGGTCTGTGGGGATCCCTGCAGGTCCAGGTCATTCCCAGTGGGGCTGGGGGGGTTTCACCACTGGGCAGGGACCCCCAAGGGAGGATTTGGGGGGAAATGTGTGGGGAAGCAGCAGAGACAGGGTCAGCTTTGCGGTTCAGGTTATGAACAGGAGCAGAACGTGGGAAGCAGAGGATGCCAAGGCGCTGCATGCGTTACAAGCTGCTGCTTGGCCAGATAATGTGGGGACATAAACGGGGTTAAAGAATAAAGTGGTGCAAATGGTGGCCTTTTCAGGGAGGTTGGGGCTCCTGGGGTAATCAGGCAGGGTCAGTGCTGTAGGCAGGGACCTGGGCTGTGTTGGATGGAGGGTGAAGCCAGGAGGACTGGCAAGCATCCATGGGATGATACATTGCATTGCTCCCCCCCAGAGCTGCATCGTGACCCACGAGTCCAATGGGATCGACATCATCACAGCCCTCATCCTCAACGACATCAGCCCCCTCTGCAAGTACCGGATGGACCTGGTCCTGCAGCTGAAGGTGGGCAGAGCCTAGGGCTGGGATGGGGGGCACGTGTGTGGGCTTATGGCATGTCCATGGGGTGTGCTGTGGGGTGAGGTGGATGCTGTAGTGGGGACTGTGCATGTGTCAGGTCCTCGAGTGTGGGAGCACCTGGGCTTGGTGGGATGGGGCTGGTGCATCTCCACTGTGTGAGGCTCAGATGCCTCCAGCACGAGGGAGTTACAGCTGACGGTGGTAAAGGGGAAGTTCTGCCCACTCTGAAGGCCCAGGCAGAGGCAGGGCACAGCTCCCCTCAGCAAGGGCTTCTCCTCGCCAGGACAATGCCTCCAAGCTCCTCTTGGCCCTCATGGAGAGCAGACACGACAGTGAAAACGCCGAGCGGATCCTCATCAGCCTCCGCCCACAGGAACTGGTAAGGGCTGACAGTGAGACACCCCCACTGAGCCCCTCAGCTTCTCCCCTGGACCATTGCTCTTCTGCCTGTGGGTCCTGATGCAGTTTCTGGTTTGCAATCCAATAACCACCTCATCTTCCACACCGCTGGTCACCACCTCTGCGCAGGCATCCTTGCCCAATGGTCCTCCCAGAGCCATTTGTGGCCAGAGGAGGAAAAGGAAACAAGGAGATGGGGTGAAGCTCACTGTCCCTCTGCTGCCTTCCAGGTGGATGTGATTAAGAAGGCCTATCTGCAGGAGGAGGAGTGTGAAAACGCTGAGGTTTCCCCCCGGGAAGTTGGCCACAACATCTATATCCTGGCGCTGCAGGTACTGAGCTGTGACAGCAAGGGTCCCTGCCAGGCTGGGCTCCCCATGCTGGGCTGGGCATGTTTTCTCTGTATTTATTTACATTTTCTCCAGCCAGGCTGGTCTCCCAGCTCCTGTGAAAAGCCACCCCCCGGGGTGTGCTGCCCCGTTCCCCTGGGCACCCCATGTCCCCTCCCCTGGGCACTGGTGGCTTCTCACCTGGGCTCACCCGGCCATCGCTGTCCCTCTTCCAGCTCTCCCGACACAACAAGTCTCTGCAGCAGCTCCTGAAGCCGGTGAAGCGAATCCAGGAGGAGGAGGAGGAGGGCATCTCATCCATGGTATGGAGGGACCTCAGGAATGGAGGCAGAGCCCCTTCAAGCCACCCTGACCCTGCCTGGAGACTCCAAAGAGTCTCCCACCCTTTCTGAGCCACCCTGGGGTTTGTTGTTTAAAATTTGATGAGTTTTGGTATTCCCCAGGGGGACTAAAGAAAGAAAGGCTTATAGTGCCTTTGTAGCCCAAACTACCAGCCCAAAGGCACGTGCACCTTCTCTAACCAAGCTGTGGGGAGCTGTATTTGTGGGGCTCCCCAAGGAAGGCTCAGCTGTAGGGTGACGTCCAGCTCACCGCAGGGACAGGCTGGTGGCCCTGAGGGAGGGAGGACATTCTCCCCTTCCCTTCAGCAAAGGAAGGGCTGAGTCCTTTGCTGTCATTTCTTGCCCACGTACCTGAGATCCCAAACAAGACTCAGCAGTAATGTGATTTCCCTGGGGTTTTATGGGCATTGATTTGTAATTTGTGGATTAGCAGCATTTGGATGTAATTATTGCAGGGAATTGAATGTCTGTCACCTCGGGGAGGGCTCAAACCCCTTTAGGAAGCTTGAATTCATTTGCTTTTCCCTGAAACCTCATCAGCTTTGGTAGATTTTGAGGCTGTTGTCAGTGCAGAGTTAGACCTGGCTGAGGCCGCTCTCGTCCCCTCTCCCAGCTCAGCCTCAACAACAAGCAGCTCACGCAGATGCTGAAGTCGACGGCCCCGGTCCAGGAAGAAGAGGAGGACCCGCTGGCCTATTACGAAAAACACACATCCCAAATTGAGGCAAGACCTGTTTGGCTGTTGGGTTTCCAGTGGACACGTGGCCGGTGAATCCCTCGTGTGCTCCGGTTGCCTCGTGCCCGGTTATTTTGCACCAGGAGCCGTCCCATCCCTGTGCCGGCAAGAAGCAGAGGGGCCTTTTGCTCTGCAGAGAGCTGGGGGTGTTTGCAGAGCCCGTGGGGATCAGGGGGAACGAGCTGCCCCCCAGACCCATCCTTTCCCTCCCCGCAGCAGCAGGGAGGCAGCCCTTTCAGCAGCCTCATCCCTTCCAAGGGTTCATGCACTCACAGCTTTCCTGCAGCACAGCCAGGGCTGCCTCTGCTGGGTCCTTTTGTAGCGTTATAGACGAGTGACCGGTGGTGTTTGGATCCTGGTGGGGTGGGAGGGAGGAGGGGAAGGCACAGTTGGGTCTAGGAAAGAGGAAACCAAAGGCTGGCAAGGGTGGGATCTGACGGCCCCTTCCCCTTGGCCCTGCTTCCTGCAGATTGTGCGCCTGGACCGGAGCATGGAGCAGATAATCTTCCCGGTGCCTGGCATCTGCGAGTTCCTCACCAAGGAGACCAAGTACAGGCTCTTCACCACCACGGAGCAGGACGAGCAGGGCAGCAAAGTCAGTGATTTCTTCGACCAGTCGTCCTTCCTCCACAACGAGATGGAATGGCAGAAGAAACTGCGCAGTAAGAGCAAGCCAGACCTTCCCTTCGGGCTCCCCCCTGGCACTTCCAGTAGCCCCCCATTCCCCATGGGGGGCAGCCCTGCTTTGAAAGGGTTCCTGGCAGCAGCCTGGAGATCACATCTCTGAGCATCTTATGCCCCTTGCTCTGTGGAGCAGAGCACACTCGGCAGTTTGCAGGGAGTGGAGGTTACTCAAGATCCCAGGGATGTATTTCCTCCGTGCCTCTTAGTGCAGTTCCTCCATGGGCTGAAACGCGTCTTGTGGCACGTTCCCTGGGGTTACACCTGCAGGTGTTTTCCCCTGGAAAGCCCTCTCTTCATTTGCTTTCAGTTGCCTTCTCCTAAGCCAGGATCTAGCAGCTACATATGGGAAAGAAAACTTGTTTCTCTGGGCCCTGCTGACCTGCTTAGGTGCTCTCAGGGCTGCATCAGGAAGGAAATCCTGGCTTAAAATAACAAGGAGCTGAATAGAGAGTCACACTATAAATGCTGCGATGCAGCTAAGGGGCAGTGTAGCAGCTCTGAAAACACTTGCAGATCCAGTCAAAACTATCTTAGGAATTCGGCAGGAAACAAGTTTCCAGTATGGATGGGAAATTGCTGGCTGGGTCTCCTCTGGGACCAGAACCAGCGCTGAAAACACAAAGATACTGTTGTTTTGAAGGATGCGGGGCTGTAGGAGGTGGGAGATGGGGAGGAGGAGGACGGAGCCAATCTGATTCCAAGGTGCCAGAGCAGGTCAAAGGGTTGAGAAGCCAAGAACTGTGAGCAGTGACATTTGGAACTTTGTGCTGCTATTTCAGCAGATGAGGAGGGAGCTTTTATTAGTGTTTTGAAGGAAGGTGGGAGGCAAGAGTCCCTCCGAGCTCACTGGCTGTACTGGGCTGAACCCTTTGGGTGTCTGGGAGAACAAAGCCTTCCCCGGTTGGCACAAGTTTGGCTGAGATTTGTGTGTCTGCCTCCTCTCACTCCAGGCATGACGCTGATGTACTGGTTATCACGAAGAAGGACTCTCTGTGGAAGCATTTCCTTCAACCTGG